AAGGCAATCGTTTCTCCCAGAAGACGATGATGGCTGCTATGGGGCGGGGGGGTAGCGCCGTGTAAGGATGTGGGAGCCAGGGCGACGATGGCGAGGAGCGAGGAATCTGAGAGGTGACTGCTGGGCGCGTGATGCACAGCGCGTGCATGCGTCTCCTCCCACTGCATCCCCCCCCCCCATGCCCCTCCCCCCATCCCCACGCCCCTGGCCCTCTCAGGCGTGCCATCTCCTCGCCCCGTCGCCCCCTTGCTGTTTGCACGTCTTGCGGTTTGCAGGCGCCCTGGCCTCGCCCAGGCTGCATGGAGCTGCGCATTCAATAAGATCTACTCGGACACGTTCAGAGACGAGTTCGGGCGCAACCCCACGGTTTCAAGACTGGATGGGGTTCGGTACCGCGCTTTATCTTTACATTCGAATGGGGCGGCTGCGAGGTCGAGGGGAAGAGGGCCGATGAACACGATGATACGGATGTTGTTCATGATGATGGTCGCGACGATGGTGATGATGATGATGCTGATGATGATGATGATGATGATGATGATGATGATGATGATGATGATGATGATGAGGCTGATGGTGGTGCTGATGGTGATGGTACTGATGACGGTGGTGCTGACGGTGATGGTGGACGAGGAGGAGGCGCATGCATGAGGGAGATGAGTAAGATACAAGGGAGGATGTCAGTGATCGACGAGATGGTGAGTACGACGGGTAGGATGACATAATCATCGGCCTGACGTCAGCAATGCAAACTCAGAGGAGTGGAGACGAGAGGACGAGGGGCAGCCGTGGCAGATGGCCTGCAATGCCCTTGTAAATTACGCTGCGTCCGCGATCCCAGGGCCACGATCCAACGTAAATTACTCTGTGTTTGCGCCCCCAGGGTCGCGAAGCACCGCGCGGAGGTTGCCCAAAAGGGCACCCCCCTCTCCAGAGCAGAAACCCATACCTTTCTGCATTGGGATATGTACTCGGGGGGCGCTTTTCTGCCCCTCCAGCCATTTCCTGAAAATCAAGCGCTGGACCCGTAGCCGCGAAACCTCGTAAATTTGATTGCGTCCGCGCGCCCAAGGCAGCGACCACTCGTAATTTACGCTGGATTCGCGATCTCAATGCCACAGCCACTCGTAAATTACGCTGGGTTCGCGCTCACAGGGCCGCGATCCCTCGCAAATTACGCTGGATTCACGCTCCCAGGGCCACCATCCCTCGTGATTTACGCTGGATGCACGCTCCAAGGGCCAAGACCCCTTCAGAAATTACACGGGTTTCGCGCCCCAGGGCCAAGACCCTTTCGTAAATTACAACAGATGTACGCTCCCAGGGCCACGGCCCCTGGTAAATTACGCGGGCTTCGCACTCCCAGTGCCAAGATCCCTCGTGAATTACACTGGATTCGCGCTCCCGAGGCGAAGATCCCTCGTAAATTACGCTGCGTCCGCGCCCCCAATGCCAAGATCCCTCGTAAATTACGCGGCATTCGCACTCCCAGGGCCGCAATCCCTAGTAAATGACGCTGTGTCCGCGCCCCCAGGGTCGCGAAGAACCGCGCGCATGTTGCCCAAAAGGCCCCCCCCCCCTCTCCAGAGCAGAAACCAACACTTCTATGGATTGGGATATGTACTCGGGGGGCGCTTTTCGGCCCCAATCAAGCGCAGGACCTGAAGCCGCGAATCCTCGTAAATTACACTGCGTCCGCGCGCCCAAGGCAGCGACCACTCGTAATTTACACTTGATTCGCGCTCTCAAGGCCACAGTCCCTCGTAAAGTACGCTGGGTTCGCGCTCACAGGGCCGCGATCCCTCGCAAATTACGCGGGATTCACGCTCCCAGGACCACGACCCTCATAATTTACACTGGATGCACGCTCCCAGGGCCACGATCCCTCGTAAATTACGCGGGCTTCGCGCTCCCAGTGCCAAGACCCCTTCGTAAATTACACGGGATTCGCGCTCCCAGGGCCACGGCCCCTCGTAAATCACAACGGATGCACGCTCCCAGGGCCACGATCCCTCGTAAATTACGCGGGCTTCGCGCTCCCAGTGCCAAGATCCCTCGTGAATTACGCTGGATTCGCGCTCCCAGGGCGAAGATCCCTCGTAAATTACACGCACGGTGTCCGCGCTCCCAGGGCCACGATCTCTCGTAAATTACAAAATTACGCTCCTGGGGGCCTCTCCTGGGCCCTCCTAAGGAAAATCGTGCAAAACCAAACGAATTCGTCGAGACATCCTCGAAATTCATGCGCGCGGACCGCGGCACGCGCGAGACATCCTCGGAATTCCTACGCGCGGGACGCTCTTCCGCGTCGCGGTCGGGGCTCCAGACCCCGTTAACTATTTGGCAAGGAATCTGCGAAAAACGCTCCGCACCCTCTTTTTTACAAGGGAAAACGGGAGTCTGCGGACCCAGTTTTTTATTGAGGATCCGAGATGGGGGGCGCACTTTCCTCGAGCGGGCACGCACGAAACGCACTTTTTCGACCAAAAGTCAGCACTTTACTTCGTTACTTACGCAGGATAATTTCGCCGGCCCCCTTCAAGTCGAAACCAGGGGGTAAACCCACTAAAAGAGAACCCTGGGCCGACGCCCTTTCCGGGAAAAATACACGTCGTGAAACAGACACGACCGCAGCCTTCGACCCCATCCCGACTTTTATCCATCATCCTGCTTGTTGGTTCCTCGTTTTTGCTTGGATACACAGCCGGATGCACCGGATACGCCAAATACAGGGCCGGATACACAGCCGGATACGAGGCCGGATACACTGGGTACAGGGCCGGATACACCGGATAAACCGGATCCAGGGCCGGATACAGGGCCGGATACATACAGAGCCGGATACAGGGCCGGATATACAGGGCCGGATACAGGGCCGGATACAGGGCGGGATACGAGGCCGGATTCACAGCCGGATACAGGGCCAGATACAGGGCCGGATACACAGCCGGATACAGGGCCGGATACACAGCCGGATGGACCGGATACAGGGCCGGATACAGGGCCGGATACAAGGCCGGATACACAGCCGGATACAGGGCCGGATACAGGGCCGGATACAGGGCCGGATACAGGGCCGGATACAGGGCCGGATACAGGGCCGGATACAGGGCCGGATACACAGCTGGATACAAGGCCGGATACAGGGCCGGATACAGAGCCGGATACACAGTACTGCAACACCGGATACGCCGGATACAAGGCCGGATACACAGCCGGATACAAGGCAAGATACACCGGATACAGGGCCGGATACACCGGTTACAGGGCCGGATACAAGGCCGGATACACAGCCGGATACAGGGCCGGATACAGGGCCGGATACAGGGCCGGATACAGGGCCGGATACAGGGCCGGATACAGGGCCGGATACAGGGCCGGATACAAGGCCGGATACAGGGCCGGATACAGAGCCGGATACACAGTCGGATACACCGGATACGCCGGATACAAGGCCGGATACACAGCCGGATAAAAGGCAGGATACACCGGATACAGGGCCGGATACAGGGCCGGATACACAGCCAGATACACAGCCGGATACAGGGCTGGATACATACAGGGCCGGATACACAGCCGAAGGAGCCTGTAACGCAAGGCTATGGACAAAACCTTTGCTGCACGCGCGCCCACTTACAGACCAGGACTCCAAAGAAAACCTGGGGGCCCTGGGGCGAAGGGGACTGTTCGGCAACGGGGACATTGAGTTCCCAAAACACAAACCAGGAATACACAAAAATTCGCGCCATCGGCGCCACGGAACATTACGCACCGTTTTTTGTTGATATCGCAAGCTTGTGAAGCTCACCTGAAGAAGTACCAGAGGACCATTCAGTCTTGAATTTCGGTGTCTGAATTCTTACATGTATGATTCCTTTCCGAAGCATCCCTCCGGCTCACCCTGACCTGCTCCGTCCACCGTCTGCCACGGAGACGGCCGAACGCGGTTCCACGGAGTCGAGGCGCGCACACGCTTGACATCGATTCAAACAAGCGGCAGCACGCTACGCCTGACTCGCGCGTGAAGCGCTGGCAACAAAATCTGGCACGCAACACAGCGCCCCCGCTGGCTGGCCGTCCCCTGCCTACTCCACCGACCGACTGCTCCGGCTTCTTCTGCCACCATCCCTCCTGCTCACCCTCGACGCCTCTATTCACTATCGGCAAACTGCTGATCGCGGTGTCACGGACAAAAAGGCGCGCGCACACGCTTGCCATCGATTAAAACAAGCGGCAACGCGCCAAGCTTGACGACCATTCGGACGACCTGGCAGCACATCGGAGGCGCGAGAACTAGAGGGGCACACCATCGCAAGCTGTAACGCGTTATCCGACGACGCCGACGACGCCGACGACGACGACGACGCCGACGACCACGACGACGCCTACGACGACAACGCCGACAATGACGTCGACGGCGATGCCGACGCCGACGACGACGCCGACGCAGGCGCCAGCGCCGACGACGACGACGACGCGACGACGACGACGATGGCGATGACGACGACCCAGACGCCGCCGACGCCGCCGACGACGACGACAACAACGACGCCGACGACGATGACGCCGACGCCGACGCCGACGATGCCGACGATGCCGATACCGAGGCCGACGACGACGCCGATGCCAACGCCGACGACGCCGACGACGACGCCGTTGCCGACGCCGACGCCGACGCCGACGACGACAACGACGACGACAACAACGACGCCGTTGCGCAAGCCGACGCCGACGCCGACGCCGACGCCGACGACGACGACGCCGACGACGACGACGCCCTCCCTCGACGACGACGACAACGACGACGACGACGACGGAGTACGAATCGACAACAGCAGTGAATTCAAACAAGTCGTGTTGGCCTTGCGCCATCGCTCGCGCCCCCTCCCTCCTCCCAACAACCTCCCCCCTTCGTCTGTCCTTGCGCGAAGCACCTTGCAATGTATTGAAGAGGACGAGGAGGACGAGAGGAGGAATGCTACGGCTACGATGACGACGGCGAGGAGGAGGAAGAGGAGGGGAAGGAAGAACAGGAGAAAGAGAGGATGCGCTCTGTCACAGCAGGACACTGTAAATATGTACGCTCTGTCGTCGCAGATCCCTATAGGTCTCTGGAATTCGAAGTAAATGTCGGCGGGACACACCAATTCACCCCTTGCGGGCGGGCGGGCGGGCTCGACCGCCCCGCGCGGAGCTGGGAGCCCTCGGCTCAGTAGCCAATTGCGACGGAACCGTTTAGATCCGAAGCTTGACCATACAACCGCGCCTCGAGGGACAATATCTTCTGGCACCCTTTCTCAGGCGCCGCCGCCTCCGTGTGGTCATCCTCTCCCAGCAGCCCTCCGACACGATACCCAGTGCGCTGAAGGTTCTTGACGTAGACGTTCAGATACGGCTGCCCCTTGTCGGTGTGACCGCTGCCGACTTTGAGCTCCACAAGCCCGAGTTTCAGCCACTTCGGCGTCTCGTCACGCGCGTCGTGAGCGTCGAAGTGAAAGCCTCCAGGCCGCACCTTGTTCGCCCACGTCCCTGTGGCGTTGATCTCCTGGAAGTACATTTCCGAGCAGTGTGTCCCCAGTCGACGCGCGTCGGCCTCTACAACAAGCAGCGCATCATCGACGGGCGTTCCGCGCGGGACGCTGACCAAGACAGCTTTGCCTGGCCTCACCAAATCGAACCGCTGACCGAACATGTTCTGCAAGTGTGGATCGCCGGTGGCGGAGGACAATGACATCGTCGGTGCTGGCGTTGGTGCTGGCGTCGACGCCTTGTGAAATGCGGCCCAAAGAGGCTCCCCAGACGCCCCCGGGCGGCCCCAGGAGGACGCACCCCCCCGACTAGACAAAACATCGATTGCCGTATAGTTAGTAAGCGATTTGGGATTTCCCGCCCTTTTTGTTTGAATACCGCCCAAGGTGACCCACAAGGCTGGGGGCGTCATCTGGCCAGGGGGCCCCTGGCATTGGCCCCCCGTTACAACAAGGAAGAGCATATAGGCGCAACATCCACGAATCCTCAACGTCTGTGCTAATCCCACCAAGCTCTGGGCGTAATCTGTCAAGGGCGCGTCCTATTCCAACAGTGTGTGCTTCCCCTACGATTCAAGGCGTTCCCACTGACCCCTAAGCAGAAACACTCCCTCCCCCACTCGACAGGCCGAAGGCCAAGAGCAATGCGGAACCTCTCTCCCACACCATCCTTCCAACAAATTAACCTGGCGAAAGGCCCAACCATATGCAGATGTGAGTACCGCAATTGTGAATATCTTCTTCGGTGGCGCTCCCTATGGGGCCACGAAGCGCTGTACTGGGTGGGTGGAACGCAGGGAACAAGGGCCGTGTTGGGTGGTGGCGGACGCATGCGGGCGGTGCCACTGGGACCTTCCGTAGACCTCACTATGGGGCCGCGAATCGCTTTAATGGGTGGGTGAAACGCAAAGAACAAGGGCCGTGTTGGGTGGTGGCGGACGCATGCGGGCGGTGCCAGCGGGACCTTCCGTGGAGCTCCCTATGGGGCCACGAAACGCTGTACTGGGTGGATCAAACGCAGGGAGCAAGGGCTATGCTGGGTGGTGGTGGCGGACGCATGCGGGCGGTGCCACTGGGACCTTCGGTGGAGTTCCCTATGGGGCCACGAAGCGCTGTAATGGGTGGGTGAAACGCAGGGAGCAAGGGCCGTGTTGGGTGGTGGCGAACGCATGCGGGCGGAGCCACAGGGACCTTCGGTGGAGCCCCCTATGGGGCCACGATACGCTGTATTGGGTAAGTGAAACGCAAGGAGCAAGGACCGTGTTGGGTGGTGGCGGACGCATGTGGGCGGTGCCACTAGGCCCTATGGGGCCACGAAGCGCTGTACTGGGTGGGTGAAACGCAAGGAGAAATGGCTGTGCTGGGTGGTGGCGGACGCACGCGGGCGGTGCCACTGGGACCCTCGGTGGAGCTCCTTATGGGGCCACGAAACGCTGTACCAGGTGGGTGAAACGCAGGGAGCAAAGGCTATGCTGCGTGGTGGTGGCGGACGCATGCGAGCGGTGCCACTGGGACCTTCCGTGGAGCTCCCTATGGGGCCACGAAACGCTGTAATGGGTGGGCGAAACGCAGGGAGCAAGGGCTATGCTGCGTGGTGGTGGCGGACGCATGCGGGCGGTGCCACTGGGACCTTCCGTGGAACTCCCTATGGGGCCACGAAACGCTGTAATGGGTGGGTGAAACGCAGGGAGCAATGGCTATGATGGGTGGTGGTGGCGGACGCATGCGGGCGGTGCCACTGGGACCTTCCGTGGAGCTCCCTATGGGGCCACGAAGCGCTGTACTGGGTGGGTGAAACGCAGGGAGCAAGGGCCGCGTTGGGTGGTGGTGGCGGACGCATGCGGGCGGTGCCACTGGGACCTTCGGTGGAGCCCCCTATGGGGCCACGAAGCGCTGTACTGGATGGGTGAAACGAAACGAACAATGGCTGCACTGGGTGGTGACGGACGCATGCGAGCAGTGCCACTTGGACCTTCGGTGGAGCTTCCTTGGGGCCACGAAGCGCTGTACTGGGTGGGTGAAACGCAAGGAACAATGGCTGTGCTGGGCGGTGGCGGACGCATGCGGGCGGTGCCACTGGGACCTTCGGTGGAGTTCCCTATGGGGCCACGAAACGCTGTAATGGGTGGGTGTAACGCAGGGAGCAAGGGCTGTGGTGGGCGGTGGCGGACGCATGCGGGCGGCGCGACTGGCGCCTTCGGTGGGGCCCCCTTTGATGGGGCCACGAAACCCTATACTGGGTGGGTGAAACGCAAAGAGCGAAGGCGTGTTGGGTGGCGGCGGACGCATGCGGGCGGCGTCACTGGGACCTTCGGTGGAGCTCCCTATGGGGCCACGAAACGCTGTATTGGGTGGGGGCAATCGCTGCACTGGGTGGTGGCGGACGCATGCGGGCGGTGCCAATGGGACCCTCGGTGGAGCTCCCTATGGGGCCACGAAACGCTGTACTGGGTGGGTGAAACGCAGGGAGCAAAGGCTGTGCTGGGTGGTGGCGGACACATGCGGGCGGTGCCACTGGGGACTTCGAGCGCCCCAATGGGGCCACGAAGCGATGTATGGTTGGGTGGTGGCGGACGCATGCGGGCAGTGCCACTTGGACCTTCGGCGGAGCCCCCTTATGGGGCCACGAGACGCTGCACTGGGTGGGCAAAACGCAGGGAGCAAGGGCCGCGTTGGGTGGTGGCGGACGCACGCGGGCGGCGCCACTGGAACCTTCGGTGGAGTTCCCTATGGGGCCACGAAACGCTGCACTGGGTGGGCGAAACGCAAGGAACAATGGCTGTGCTGGGCGGTGGCGGACGCACGCGGGCGGTGCCAGTGGCGCCTTATGGGGCCACGAAGCCCTGTACTGGGCGGGTGAAACGCATGGAAGAAGGAGGGGGGGGAGGAGGGGGGGGGGAGGAGGAGAGGAGAAGAGGAACGCGGGGACCGTCTCTTCAACACGAGGACCCAACACCACATAATGGTTGGGAACAACAAGGAGTGCCCGTGTCGACTACATCCGGATCGCGATGTGGGCCCCGCGAGCACCTTGCTTGGAATTGCAACAGGCATGGGGGCGCGCGAGCATATCTGTCCACCGTGAATTCGCCCACGATCCTCGTCGAAAAGCAAGTCAAACTCATTGCAGGCGCACGCACAACAGCTTGCCGACCACCACGCCCGCTGCCACTTGGCACTAGATTTTGGCACGCATGGCCGGGGGCTCGACATGCTGGCCGATATGTGCTGCGGCGTGCACTGGCGCATTATGTGCACGTCGCGCCCCTGGCCGACCTGGTGCGGCCGGAGCAGGCGGCGCACGCACCATACAGCATGCTGACCACCCCACGCCACTTTGCAATGAACGGGAAGCGCGTGAAAGCGGCGAGCTTTCCAAGAACGCGCAACCTCATCACGATAAAATGCGATCGCATCTCGGCGCTATCCGTCTCCAGGCCCCACCCCCCGCTCGAGTTCCCCTATGTCAGGTGTGTTTACTTTCCGCGTGAGTTCAGATGAGGCGCACCTCCCACTGACGCATCTCGGCGTTATCCGTCTCCAGACCCCCGGTCTCACCATTCGCGTTCCCCTGTGCCAGATCGAAATTACTTTCCGCGCGACTTCAGACGAGAGCATCTCTGCATTTGCCGTCTCCAGACCCCCAACCTTCCCACTGGCGTTCGCCAAATCGACTTTGCCATCCGCGCGAGTTCAGACGAGGCACACCCCCCGCTGGCGCATCTCGGCACGATTTGTGTCCAAGCCCCCAACCCCCCCACTCGCGTTCCCCATATGACAGGTCGAGTTTACTCCGCGTTAGATACACCCCTGGGTGGCCTGGACACGCTAAAACACGTGATCCTTGCTCCAGACAGCCATGTTAGATACCCCCCTGGGTGGCATGGACACGTCGCACGCACAAAGAGGCGCCACAGGGGTCTCAACGAGAGCCTAAAGCGCACGAGATGCCTCGACGAGCGCCATCGCGGCCCGCCGAATCTGATAGAGATACGCGCTCATCTCGGCCTCAGCTGGGCGAGTTCGAACACGCATGGAATTGTAACAATGATAAGCCAGAAGAATCGACTCCACCTGTATAATCGTCGGCGCCCCGCCCAGGCCGATTCTGGACGCGACATTCTCCGAAGCAACACCGAGTCCAACGACGCTCTGCGACCAAAGAACAGGGCAGCGGAGATAGTGCTGAAAAGTGCCACGCTGATGCTCGCAACCGCACTCGAAAAGACAATCTCGGACCCCCGACGGAATGTGCAACCTCGCGGACGTGAGCCAGCAACCACATGATGGACCCACGAACCCGGAAAGGGATAAAGACATGTGCAGCATGGTCACGTTTTCACGATACCCAACTGGGCGACATCTCACGAAACATCCCACGAGACACCCCGCGAAACATCCCACGAGACACCTCACGAAACATTCCACGAGACACCTCACGAAACATTCCACGAGACACCCCGTGAAACATTCCACGAGACACCCCACGAACAGGCAACCACTCAACCAGACACGCCACGAAACATTCCACGGGGGTGCGACTGGGTGTGGTCGTGCTGGGGTGTGGTCGTGCTGGGGTGTGGTCGTGCTGGGGTGTGGTCGTGCTGGGGTGTGGTCGTGCTGGGGGTGGTCGTGCTGGGGGTGGTCGTGCTCGTGCTGGGGGTGGTCGTGCTGGGGCGTGGTCGTGCTGGGGCGTGGTCGTGCTGGGGTGTGGTCGTGCTGTGGTGAGGGTGCGTGGTGTGGTCGTGCTGGGGTGTGGTCTTGCTGGGGTAGGGTCGTGCTGGGGTCGGGTCGTGCTGGGGTGTGGTCGTGCTGGGGTATGGTCGTGCTGGGGTGGGGTCGTGCTGGGGTGGGGTCGTGCTGGGGTCTGGTCGTGCTGGGGTGTGGTCGTGCTGGGGTATGGTCGTGCTAGGGTGGGGTCGTGCATTTCGCTCGAGACATCCTGCCAAAATTCCAGGAAATCGTACAAAAACAAACGAATTAGTCGAGACATCATCGAAATTCCTGCGCGCGGGGCGCTTTTCCGCGTCGCGGTCGGCTCTGCAAAACCAGCGCGTCGCTCGAGACATCCTCAACAAACTCTGAAACCAAGCGTTTCGCTCGAGACATCCCCAACTCTGCAAAACCAGCGTCTCGCTCGAGACATCCTCAACAAATTCTGAAAAACAAGCGTTTCGCTCGAGACATCCTCAAAAATAATTTCGCCGGCCTCCTTCGACCTCGATATTTATCAGGGAAAAATTCCGCCGGCCTCCTTCAAGTTGGGCACCGGGGACATGTTTACATACTAAAAGAGAACCCTGGGCCTTTGCCCTTTCCGGGAACAAGAAGTCTTCACAACCGCCGACTGCCAGGAGGGGGCTAGTGGCTCCAGCAAGGACCTAAGCGGAGGCCAGGGGTCCCTCGGGTGCGGAACTTCCCAGGACTGAAGCCGCTTCTCAATGATGAGACGAAAAGAGTCAGGAAAACAGAGAGGCAGGGAGCGAGGAGGTGAGAACACGCTGAAGCTTGACTCTCGAGGCGCAGGCGGCAGCAGCGGCGCGAGCCTCATTCGCTTGGGGACGTGCCCGCATCGCAGGACCATGGAGCGTCTTGTCGACTGGAATCGCCCCAGGCGGTGGCCGCTGAGCATAGTTGTGGCGGGCCCTGTCCAGGAACTGCACCGTTGGTCGTTGCCTCCAGAAAGCAGAGGAGAGATGCCCCCGCCCAATGTCAGCCGATGATCCGCGCGAGCACACCTCTTCGCGTAACCAATCCAAGAGAGAACGCCAATTGGTCACTGCCTGCTCCGCCGCCCTCGCCAGGGTGGCAGTGCCGCGAGGCAACATTGACATGGTGCGGAAGTGAGCCCAGTTGGCCAACGCGAAGATATCGGCCCGATACATACACTGCGGTGGTAGATGCCATATTTTGCGCAGAGCCCACGCCTCCCTCGCCAGAGGCACCTTCGGCGCAGGATAAAGTTGCCGTAGATACCCCAGCACAGGATGAACGCATTTGTTGTAAATGTCAGCAGCCGTGAACACATGGGCGCCCGACCTGGCCAACTCCAGCACTCGCAATGTCCACTTGGCCGCCGCCTTGCGCCAGATGCTGTGCTCGTCAGCCGCAGGGCCCACCTGCACACCCAAGTATTCACCAGAGGCAGCAACACTCATGGCAGCCCACGAAGGAACGCGAGCCATCAGACACTGTCGCATGTCCTTTTCCAGCTCAGGCGAGAATTCGCCCCCCAGTGGAATGGTGACGCACTTGTGCAGTTTGAGCCTGAGACCACCCAGGACGTCAGCTGACCGAAAGACGTGCCACATGCCCTCCTGAAGGGCCCGCTGCTGCAGAGTCGCGCCCACATTATCGGCACAGACACCAACCGCAGAGCGGCAGCACGGACGAAGTAAAACCTGCATCGCCTTCACGAATGGTTCATCGCAATCGCCCAGAGCGCGCCGCTGGACTGACATCCTTGCGCCAGGTCCACAGGTGATACAAAGGAAGTGCTGCTGTAAGCCAGCAACCTGAACATATGGCGTCGGCAGCCAATATAGAGAAGCCAGCAGCGCGAAAATGCCGTCCTCCACCCCAGCGCGAGAGAGCGACTTGAGAAGCCACTCGGTCTCGAGCGAGGGGAAGGCATCCCCGAAATCATATAGGACCACGACTGGATGCTCATATTTACTCTGAAAACCACATGCCCTCGCATATGTGTCAAGCAGCGTGGTATAATTAAGAAAGTTCCTGCCGACCAAGAAGCCCCGCTGGGCCTCAGGAGATGTAGCCGCCACCGTCCTTTTGAGTTTAGCATTAATCGCACTCGCCACTAACTTGCAATCCGAGCTCTTCAAAGAAAGCGCTCCGGTAGTTGAGGCCGAAAGAAACGCCCCTGCGGTGTCGTCCGAAGCCTCCTTTCCCTCGGGGAGAAACACCACGAGATGTTCATTCCAATCCGTCGGTGGTGGCAAGCCAGCAGCCAGGTCCAGAGTAACTTCCTCCAGCGCTTGCGCCCCCAACGGTGACCTGCGCCGCGCCTCGCAGGGTAACCCATCAGGCCCTGGAGCAGAAGGCCGAGCGCGGCGAGCAGCCTCCATCAGCTGAGACGCTGTCGGAGGGAGCACTTTAGAGAAGTCAAACTGCGTGCCGAACTTCGCGAGATACTTGTCAGCAAGCTGGGCCCAGTTGGAGCACCTCGGTTTGCGCTGAAACACAAGGCCCCAGTGCCGACGCAACTCCGCAAGCATATCCTTCTGAGAGTCCACCACCTCGCCGTCGCCAGGAAGGCGGAGGCCCTGCAGCTTCAAAGCGCGTGCGAAAGGCGCCCAAAGCGAGGCCCTCCTGCGAAGCGCGCGACGTTGAGCGTTGATGAAAGAAAGAGACGCTGCGTCTGGCTTTGCGCGCGCCTCGCGTTGAGCGAGGGCCGCCTCCCTTTCAGCCGAGAAAGCTTGCTGCTCAAGGGTGAATGCACGGGCGAAAGCAACAGTGTCGCGGAGCTCCACCAGGCCCCCTGCCACACGCAAGTGCTCACGAGCAAGAGCAGAAGAAGAGAGCAGACGCTGAGCCAGCCTCGAGTCGCCCCTCCGCACCGCACGTGCCATCGAGCGAAAGACCAGTAATCGAGCCTCCGTCGACTGTGGGTTGCGAACCAAACGATTCCGCACCAACCGAGCAGCCTCCTTCATAATATTCTTAGTAACCCTCCGTTTGGACGCCAATCCACTTCAGCAGCCATGCTCTTGGTATGCCGAGCGCAGTCAGGGTCCCGGAAAAAAACATGATCGACCCACGAACCCGGAAAGGAATATAGAACTGTAACATATGGCAGCGTTTTCAAAGACACCTGATTGGGTGACGGGCAAATGCAATGCTGAGTGTATCGATCTTGATGTACCCTGCCGAGGGCTGTGCTGTGCTGCGCCGTGCTGAATTGCGATGTGCCATGGCGCAACTATGCTCTATAGCGTCGTGGATCGAGTCCTCCTTTGCATCCGAGTCCTGACCGAACTGATCTGGATCTTAAGCTCGAGCTGCCTGAACACATAGTAGCTGCCCCACAACTAATCGACAGGGGGACATGCCAGGAGGACGCGCCGCGGAACATCCCAAAGGACACGCCAAGCGACGTGCCAGTGGACGTGCCATGGGCACGCACCGCGGGACGTGCCAAGGAGACGCGCTACGGAACGTTTCCAATAAGCCAATAAATCTCAAGGGATGGGCACGGAATGTGCCAGGGGAACGCCGCCATACGCGAAAAAAAAAAACCGTGCCAGGGGGACTCGCCAAGGGACGCCCCACGGAACGTGCCAAAGAACGTGCCAAGTTGTAATGCTGAGTGTATCGATCTGGATGTACCCTGCCGAGGGCTGTGCTGTGCTGCGCCGTGCTGAACTACGATGTGCCATGCCGCGGTTGTGCACTATAGCGTCGTGGATCGAGTCCTCCTTTGCATCCGAGTCCTGACCGAACTGATCTGGAAGCTGCCTGAACACATAGTAGCTGCCCCAGAGCTGATGGACAAGGGGAACATGCCAGGAGGACGCGCCGCGAAACGTCCCAAGGGATGCGCCAGGCGACGTGCCAGGGGACGTGCCATGAGGTCGCACCGCTGGACGTGCCAAGGGGACGCGCTACTGAACGTGCTGGGGACAAGCGTTTCGCTCGAGACATCCTATCAAAATCATCCGAATTCCTACGCGCGGGACGCGGCACGCGCGAGACATCCTCGGAATTCCTGTGAGCGGGACACGAAAACAAGCATTGCGCCTGAGACATCCTCTGAACTCTGGCCCCCCACGAGGCCCCCGCTCGAGACATCCCCCAATTTTGCAAAACCAGCGTTTCGCTCGAGACATCCTCAACAAATTATGAAAAACATGCCAGGAGGACGCGCCGCGAAACGTCCCCAGGGACGCGCCAGGCGACGTGCCAAGGTACGTGCCATGGGGTCGCACCGTAGGCCGTGCCAAGGGGACGCGCTACGGGACATCCTCAAAATTCCTGCGCGCGGGACGTGGCACGCGCGAGACATCTTCCGAATTCCTGCGAGCGGGACGTGAAAACAAGCATTTCGCCTGAGACATCCTCTGAATTCTGGCCCCCCACGAGGCCCCCGCACGAGACATCCCCAAGTTTGCAGAAACCAGCGTTTCGCTCGAGACATCCTCAACAAATTATGAAAAACAAGCGTTTCGCTCGAGACATCCGGTCAAAATCCAAGGACATCCTGACAAAACAAACGAATTAG